AGGACGGATATTGCTATGAGTAAATTAAGAAGGTGTCTGGCAGGCTAATCAATGATCTAACAGTCAAATGGCGCGGCTTTTAGCCCCGAGGTGAGCCTCCTCGCACATTTTCATAATCTCTGCGCCCCCTTGACTCGTTGGCACGCGGAGGCCAGAGCCGTGGACGGCGCTGCAGAGCTCCCGCAACGAGAAAATCATTAAGCACTTCATCTTTTAGTCCATCCTCATTAAAGAAAACGACTGACTGCCTCGGCTCATATATTGTAAAAGTTGCATTTAAACGGTGGAAGGACGCACTCCAGTCGATGTATTCACTTCCCGTTTGACTGGAAATCATCTAGAAGCTGGGAGTGAGAGACCCTCTCTTCTCAGCGACTTTGATTGCACTCAGAGAAATTGAAGAGGGCTTTTGAAGTGCGATGTCTGACATTTGTAGATCCGCTAGATGTGCGCCTGATTAATTTCCATAAACATATGATGTATCTCGGGTCTGTCACAATGGTTCAGACTGAAGCGCTTCTCACGAAAGGGCTTAGGGTGCCATTTTTCCGCATTTGGACTAATGCAGAACCAATGAAGTGACACACAGTTCTCTCTAAGTCGACCAGAGACGTCGATAATAACATATGGCACGAGGCGAGATGCTGTAAAATGCAAAAAAAGGAGCTTGTGGAGTGGAAAAAGGCATAGGCTTCATGTGTGTGCAGCGATGGGAGCCTACAGCGGGGTATAGCATAATGATGCGGTTGGCCAGCGGGGCTACAAAAACTGATTTCACAGCTGGGGAAATCCAATTCTCTGTCTAAATCTCCATAGCATAGAGTGGGATATATTTTGGCAGCAAAGTGTTTTCTTTTTTGGTGTAATTATTCTCAACAAACGTCCTCATCGTCATTTTTTAAGAGTCTGGGTGGTGGGATTTACAAGCTGGTTTGTTTTGCGTGTGGGAAGCTTTAATATGCATGCGCGTGCCTTCCACTTCCTCTGTGTGAAGAAAGCGTATTATGCATGATGATTTCAGCGCATAAGAAAAAAACAAACAAAGCAACAACGACAAAGAAAAAAAAAAAACTGGCTATGTGCATCACGCCTGATTATCCTGATTACCCAGCCTTCAAGTGACGCTCAAATTCCTAACTCCACATGCAAACAGCACAGCCAAATCAATAGCCAGACTTCATTAAAACAGCATTTACCTCTGACCACTTCAGCACATCAACTAAAAGGATCACACTGGCAATCGATAAAGATAGACAGCCTCCTTGGGAGACGGGTCTCAAAATACGCAGCTTTGAGTTTCACAAGCGATGGCACTGACACAAACAAAATGGAGAAGACGCCGGGGCTGCCTCCGTCTCGACAACGTTTCTCTGGTGTTTAATCAGGAATTCTGGACTGACTACTGTGAATCAGCCGGCAGCAATGCAGAGACCATTAACAGGCGATGCTGCAATTACCTCCGCCAGTGAATGGAGAGCGCGTTACATCACCAGTCAGGCCTGACCTCAGACTGAACAAAGAGGATGCAAGATTGATTAACAATAAACTTGAAGCTTGGGGAACCAACACTTCTTTTATGAAAAACTTTTCCAACACAGA